GAGGGCTGTAAAGCACTGTGAAGCTGTATATAAGTGCTATTGCTATTCTTCAGGAGAATGGCTCAGGAGCAGGGGTGAAATGCTCCCGGTTCGGACTGGATCGCCCGATCCAGTAGCAATGGTGGCAGATGGTTCGGAGAACCGGTAGCAAAAATCCCTGCGCCCTCCCCCATGCCCAGCTGAGCTGCGCAATCATCAGAGGCTGTTTTTTTTACTTTTAAAAGCATTTTTTCAACAACCTCTTCGGCGGAAAAAATGCTTTTAAAAGTTTTTAAAAAAAAGCCTCTGATGATCACGCGGCTCAGCTGGGATCGTCAGAGGCTTTTAAAAGCATTTTTTCTATGACTACTTCAGCCGAAGAGGTTGTAGGGAAAAAAAATGCTTTTAAAAGCCTCTGACGATGCCAGCTGAGTTGCCTGATGGGCAGAGGCTTTTAAAAGCATTTTTTGTGCAATCTCTTCAGCCGAAGAGGTTGTAGAAAAAAATGCTTTTAAAAGAAAAAAAAAAAAAGGTTGGCCATGCCCACCCTGTCACATTACCCCCACCACCACCAAGCCATGCCCACAGAACCGCTAGTAACAAATTTTAGATTTCACCCCTGCTCAGGGGCAGAAAATTCTTCACTGAAATATAGAAGGGATTCAGGAAGACTACAGTTCAGAAAACCATGAATGGTGAAGAGGTCTTGAGCTGTGCTAGATGGTATGGTGATCTTGCACAAGTAACCCAAGAAGTAACCCAAATAAGAAAAGCATTGATGAATGTTTGAAAAAAAGAGATTTATTTGAACTAAAGATCTGCCGACTTGAGCCCTTGGGTGCTCAGAGGGTTTTTTTTTCTCAAGAACATTCTTAATCAGAAAGCGTTCTTATTAGAGCACATGGCATATGAAATAATTAAAGACGCTGAGCTTGTCGATCGAAAGTGCCGTGTAATGGGGTGAGCTCCCGTTACTTGTCCCAGCTTCTGCCAACCTAGCACTTTGAAAGTACGTAAAAAATGCAAGTAGAAAAATAGGGACCACCTTTGGTGGGAAGGTAACAGTGTTCTGTGCTCCTTTGGCATTTAGTTATGTTGGCCACATGACCACAGAGACGTCTTCGGACAGCGCTGGCTCTTTGGCTTTGAAACAGAGATGAGCACCGTCCCCTAGAGTCGGGATTGATTAGCACATATGTGCGAGGGGAACCTTTACCTTTACCTAACCCTAACAAACCCACAACACAACACAAGGTATTAGTTTAAACAGGTGTCCTTTTAGTTTAAAAGGACCTTTTTAAAAAGGAGAGGGTGGGAAAGCATACAAAAATTCAACTGTAAATGTGAACTAGGATGATGTTAAGAATGTAGAGAGGGGTTTTTGTTTAATCTGAAAGTCTTCTAATATTCCAGATGTTTATTTAATGGTTATGATTGCAGAAAGTTTGACAAACCCTGGTAGAATTTGTTAGATTATGTCCTCCATTACTACCTACTCCAATGACTGTGTTGACTTGAAACAGGAGAAACAGAATTGGAGGGACATTGGCAATGGAAACAGCAAATTTCATACCAAAATAATTTCTGCTGATTAAGAATGGGTGAATAACAGTACAACTCACTGTGAAGGAAAGACCCTAAATCGAAAGACACCAAATAAAAACAATATCTTAAATGCTTATTATGGCTTGAGTTTCCTGAAAGGATTAGGAGTGACATGATAGCCTTGTTCCAGTATCTCAGGGGCTGCCACAAAGAAGAGGGAGTCAAGCTCTTCTCCAAAGCACCTGAAGGTAGGACAAGAAGCAATGGGTGGAAACACATCAAGGAGAGAAGCAACCTAGAACTAACTGACAATTAGAATACTTAATCAATGGAACAACTTGCCTCCAGAAGTTGTGGATGCTCCAGCACTGGAGGTTTTTAAGAAGAGATTGAACAACCATTTCAGACAAATGGCTTGAGCATGGGGTTGGACTAGAAGACCTCCAAGGTCCCTTCCAACTCTGTCATTCTGATTAATGCTTAAAAATGCTTGCTGTATTTTGTAACTTCCTTTCTTACACATTTAGCTCCACAACTTCTCATGTAATCTTTTAAAAAGCAGTAAAAGTAATAAAAGTATTTTTTCAAATGTCTAAATTTCAAAACAACCACCACCATAAATAGTGTGGATCTGAGACTTAAACATATGAATTCAGCCACGTTCCAACAGAGCTAAGATTTTTCCTAGTTGACCAATTCAGAACGAGAATTTAACTTCCATATTTTTTTTTCTGAAATAATATTTGAAATATTCATTCAGCAAAAAAAGATTAGAGATAGGTCTCCATGCTACTGTAATTAATACAATGTTTACTACCATTTAACTTTACTGTTAAAGTGACTGAATGCATCTTTTTGCCAAAAGAATTGAACTAAATGGGCTAACTTGAGAAAACTAAGTGGGTTAGTATTAGAATAGCGATGCTAACATGATAGTTTGCTGAAATGCAACTTGTTCTTGCCATCAAGCTCTTACTTTGAAAGACATGTTGGGCTCTATAAAAAAAAAAAATTGACTGAAGAGTATTCTGCCCCATCTAATCTCCTCTAATGTCACGAAAAAGAAGAGTATTACGGTAAATTGAATGTAAAGCTTTGAAACAAAAGAAAATTCTCTTTTAATACTGGAATTCAGATTCATGCCATAGAATCAATTAGTGACCATGCATATCCGATCAGGGACTCTTTGTTCCTTATGGGAAAGGCTGCAGATTTGTTTGAATTGTATAAAAACACACGAGACTATATTTGCCTAGGAATATATCACTGTTTGTTGAATTAAATATGACTACGTGCATAAATAACATCACAGAGGATATATATATCTGTGGCTAAAATTACCTTTGAGTGTTGTGGAGGCAATATAAATCAAATGAATAACGGCCTCTAGAACGGATGTGTCTTTTAATATGATTTCTGGTGTTATTAGATATTTTATGCAAGCAAATTGCTGAGAAAATGTTTGTGGCAAGTCAAGGTCCCTTGACAGTCTTTGCCAAACTGTGGCTTTAATCTATCAGATTTTCAACTTTATGACTGGAGTTTTAGCATCCATATTTTTTTCTGGAATGAGAATCTTGGTGAGTATAGGATTATTTACCAAATTTACTCTTTGGAATTATTTACTGACCTCTTTTAAAATCTTGGCAACTCTTAGGGTGAATTTATAAGGGTTGCCTTTCTCAGTCTTGAAAGCTGCTAGATATATTTGCACCTTAATAGGCCGGTAGATAAATTCTGAACTGAAATTTCGAATGAGAAATTGTAGTTGCAAATTAACACCAATTTGGAGATAGTGGAGAAAATGTTTATTGGAAGTTGTGGGTCAGCGAAACCAGTTATACCTTGAATTAACTGATTTATAATGCCCAGTTTAAGGCTTTTGAGAGGATGTGTTCTGAATGTGAATCATCTGCTGAACAATATATACAATGAAAGTATGTACTGATCAAAAAAATATATCTTGGATCCTTTGGCAAGTTTCAGAGACACACCCCAAATTTAAGAGATGTTATGTTTGAAGTAAAATAAACACTGCAATTTTACACTTTTTTTTTTTTTTTTAAAAGCAAAACAAAACAGGATGAAGGTTAATATTGGTCATACAAAATGTGAAGTAAGGTACTGGAATATCCAATTTTGGAAAAAAAGCAACCAATCTAAATTTTAAGGAATGTAAAATATACATCTTATGATTTAGAGATAAAGTTAATTCAACAAAAAAATCTTCTTCTGCATTTATTGGATGCATCAAAGATTGCATTTAAAGAGTTGGAAATCAGATTTCTTATATTGGTATATTGCAAAACATTTGAGGAGTCTCGGAGTATGGATTTAGTCATACTTTCCAATGGCTCTTTTTTTTTTGGCTTCCAATGGTTAACCATTGGAAGCCAATGTGATTCAAAAAGAGGAAAAAGATACAGTTGTAATGAGAAATGTAAATATGATGATTTATCTCCCGAAATAATGGGTGTGAAAGTTTATGAAGAACTCTTGTCCCTTCCAAGCATGAGATTCAGTAAAAATTACTCTATGAAGATTGGGTGGGATAATTATTCCTGAGTTTAACAAGTAGATTGAAGAGAGGTGTTCCTATCGATTTTTGAAATGCTTTTATATTGTGAAAATGAGACGATGAAGCAATGTTTCTGTATCATCTGATTTAATAATATGGTATCAGAAACAAGCTAGTTTTATAGTAATGCAATATTATACAGAATCTCCCCCCCTCCCTTTACTTTCAGTTCACTTCAACTGCTGTTAGTTATTTCTTTACTGATGGCATAATCACAGTGGTATCATTTATCCCTGTTATGTAGCTGTACTTCACCAATTAAAAATGACAGCTGGGATTGGTGCATTCTGCATAGAATCTATTTATTTTATTTTTACAAGAGGGAAAACAAAACAAGATAGCAACGTTCTCCTGCCCCACTTCCTGATATATAAGCTTGTTGCCTTTACGCTGACTTCCAGAGGAAAGGTAGAGAACAATGGAAAACATTTATACTTCAACAATATTCACATCCGCTAATAAGAGCATGCAGTTAAGACAACTGCAGTTCCCTCAAATGAGAGCCCCCTTTCTCCTATACTGCTTACTCAGAAGTAAACCCATCCAACAGATCAGACCTCCAGGTAAATTACACGTGGAAGAATTGTATAAATTTTGAGGCAGTTGATTACACTTATATGACTATCAGTGAATATTTTCAGGCAGGCTTAACACTTCAATCAAGCAAAGCAAAAGGTGGAAAGTATAAAGTGCCATAAGGAAAAACGTTAAAGAATTATCTTTTTTTAAAAAAAACCGCATCCTAAAAGGATTTTCTTACGCTCTTTATATCAAAATAAATGCGTGTACACCCAAACGCAAATGTACCGTAAACCTACTGATCGTCTCTAATGAATAGATAAAATAAATGTATTTTAATAAAACACAGCCAGAGCTGCAAGAAATGCCCAATACTCACGTTGACTCTCATCTTGCTTGGATCACTTGGCACCGCTGTCTCCCATCACTTCAAAGTCCATACGCAAACCGGCTTTTCATTTCTGCAGCCAGTCACACCGTTTAAAAGTCTAGTGGTGAGCCTCAGCTGTCTAATTCTGGCCTCCTTTTGCAACACCGATAAGTCATTTATTTATTTATTTTCCTGAGTGAAATGAACAGCCTTCCTTGGGGTGGGCGGAGGGAGGACGGATTGAGGGGTGTGTGTACGGTGTGTCCAAATCACATCACCCACTGAAATTCTCCCCCAGGATTGCAACTGGCTTGCAGATTTCTTTCATGCAGATGGAGGTCTCCCCAGGAGGTGCTTGGTGTCTCCAACTTACGAGGCTCCCACTCTAAGGATCCATAAATGGGGGATTCTAAAAGCCATGCAGAAAGGCTGAACATGGCTAAGGAATACGGTCTTTGAGACGTACTTCACAGCAGCCTTTCTAACACTGCAGCCAAAGTTGCCAGTTTTCTGGTTTTCTGAGGGGTGTTTTTACTTCTCGTTTTTTTTTCAGCACTGCTGCCTCAGGAGTTCCCTTTCAAATTCCAAGTAGAGGCTGAATAAGAACATCTTGAAACAGGGCGGGGAGGAGGGGCGGAGAGAGAATATATATCAAAAGGAACAAAGCCGTGACAGAGCCATTAAAAAAAAAAATACTTTCACTGAGGCCTGCCTATTCAAATGGGCCATCTGTCCTGGACTGGCATCTGCAATGTAAATCACTTTTAAAAAAACGAAAGAAAGAAAGAAAGAACCTCAGTCACATAGTGTGGGTTGGAGGCACTTTCCTAGATCTGGAAAGTCCTTTCAAGATATCACCCACTTTCAAAAACGGGACTATCTGAGCAAGGGAAAAAGGTTCCATGCTATGGATGATGATTATTGATGATGATATCCATTCAGTCGTGTCCGACTCTTGGTGATTTTATGGGCCAGGTCTCTTCGCATTTTCGATCTTGCACTGCTTCTTTGAAGCTACGGAATGAACCTTCAAAGGTGTACATTTGGGGGTCCCTTCTCCTGCTATTCGGGAAAATTCCAAAACCACACCTCTTTCTCTTTTATTAATTGACGTAATATTTTCTTGATACTGATTTTACATTTTAAAACATGTGTACGGCTCCCTAACTAGAATAGCGTGACTCTTGTTGGCATATAACCTCTTTGGTTTCTTGACATAGGGGACCCAAAACCTGCAATCATTTGGTCTTGGTAGAGTTGAGCCATGGCCTAGTCTTCCCCATCTAGTCCTCCACAGCTTCCAGACATTGGACAGAACCATGACAGCCTCTCTTGATCACAAGAGCCAGAGAGATATAATTGAATATCATCAGCATACCCTACATCAGCAGCTTCATGTAGATGTTAAAAAGAAGCTAAGAGAAGAAGGGGTCTATGATTGGAGAGCTTCTCCCACCAAAACTGACTGGAACTGGTCTAGAGCAGGGGTGTCAAACTCAATTTCATTGAGGGCTGCATCAGAGTTGTGTTTGACCTTCGGGGGCCAGATTGGGCATGGCCAGCTCGATGTCACTCGTGTCATCACTCCTGCAGCTTGACATCATTCCTGCAGCCCTCTGCCAGCAAAAATGGAACTCACGGGGATGCACCCAGCTTCCCTGGGCCCCATTTTCAGCCATGACAGCCTCCTGCAGCTCTCTGCCAGCAAAAATGGAGCTTGGGTGGCGTGTGTAGCTCCATTTTGGCTGGCAGAGGCACCGCAGGCCAGTCCTTCGCTATTTCCAGGGCGGCTCCGTGGGGCAGATTTAAGCACCCTGCAGGCCATATCCAGCCTGCGGGCCTTGACACACCTGGTCTAGAAGAAGGAAGAGAACTATCAGAACTAACACTATGTCTTCCTCTCTCAAAATCATGAGTCCACTTTCTGGACTCACTCAGTCCACAAAGATACTGTCGCAGTTTGTAGCAATCCAGCCAGCATTCATTATATAGAAGAAACTTCTTTATATACAAAAATATAAAACATGATGCATGTATACAATACCCAGGCAACTCTTGCAACATGGTAGAGAGAAGAAAGAAGAAGAAGAAGAAGAAGAGAAGAAGAAGAAGAGAAGAAGAAGAAGAAGAAGAGAAGAAGAAGAAGAAGAAGAAGAAGAAGAAGAAGAAGAAGAAGAAGAAGAAGAAGAAGAAGAAGGAGGAGGAGGAGCAAGTATTCTCAAGCAAAGACAAATGAACTCTCACAGCACAGAACAGTTAAGCTAAGCCACACCCAGGCTCCAAGCCATGTCTCATGGCTCACGCAACAAATCCTGTGTCTCAGTCACCAAACAGTTCCCATTGGCTGACTTGTTGCTATCGATATTCCAGTTCATAAATTCTTATACACTGACAGATACCATGATTGATGGAATGGAAGGCTACCAAGAGGTTAAGAAGATCCACAATGGATGCATTGCCCCATCTCAAACATGTCTCCTCCGGCACAAAACAATGAAGAACCATCCTTTCTTATGGTTTCTGGCATTTTGCCAGTTGTGCATCTTTCCATCGAGAAACATGCATGAGGACCAAATTAGCAGGAATCTATTTTCAGTGGGAATAGGCCCTTGCCATATCCTTCTTTCCTCTGGAAGAAAGACAAGAGTGTGAACAAAGTGGAGATGTTCTGGCTAGCATTCTTGCCCATGGACAATAAAAGACCTTTAGGAACAGTAGAAAAAATGTTGCTGAAGCCTTTCATGCTGGATCCCTTGACTCTTTGGACCAGGTTAGGTTTACAGGTGAAAGTTTCCCATTCCAGGAACAAAATGGTTCCAGAACAGGGAATGGGTGACAGCACGATACTTATAGATCACATTTGTATCCTCTTGATTTCTTTAGAACAGGGGTCCCGAACAGGGGTGGGTTCTACTTACCTTTACTACCGGTTCGCAACGGGACCGCATGCGCAGAAGCTTCCTGACGACGTCCGGGTCAGTGGGCAGAGCCTCCTGATGGTTTTACTACTGGTTCTTGTGAACCGGTCCGAACCGGGGGCAACCCATCACTGGTCCCGAACCCCAGGGCCATGGTTCACGAGTCATACAAAACCACGCTGCAGAAGTGGTGAACAAGCATGTGCATATACATACATCTCCTCACATGTGCGAGCAGCGGGTGTGTGCCCCTTGCTTGCACAAATGGAGCTGCATGCATGTGTGCACTTTCCCACCGCTTGTGTAGAGCCATTCCCTCCCCCATATTCACATTTTCAAAGAACCTGATTCCCACTACAAAAGAACACCGCCCCCCACACTTTTTCCAAGAAAGAGCAAGATCTCAGCTGGGATTAAAATGTCTGCAATATTTAATGCTTTTCAATAAAGTCAAGAAATGTGATTCTGTATTTTGTGTCTTACAAATCTAGTCTAGAGGACTATTGTGATGATGAGAACAAGTAAAATGTCCATGTGTACCATCTTGGACTACCAAAGTAAAAATGCAGCAGAAGTAAGAGTAAGAGTTGCAGCTCAAAATAACATAAGTAGCTTCGTCTTTCAGTTTGGTCTAGTGCAGGGGTGTCAAACTCAAGGCCCTGGGGCCAGATCCGACCCGCGGGGTGCTTAGATCTGGCCTACGGGGCCGCTCTGGAAACAGCAAAGGACCAGCCCGTGGTCCTTCTGGTAGTGAAAACGGAGTTCAGGAGGGTTGCGTGCAGCTCTCCTGAGCTCTGTTTTCACTGACAGAGGGTTGCAGGAGGCCGTCGCAGCTGAAAACAGAGCTCGGGAGCCCGTTTTTGCTGGCAGAGGGTTGCAGGAGGTCGCCGTAGCCGAAAATGGAGCTTGGGAGCCCATTTTTGCTGGCAGAGGTGCCCCTGACACAAGTAATGTCCAGCTGGCCATGCCCACGCCAGCCCCCCAAGGTAAAAAACACAACCCTGATGCAGCCCTCAGTGAAATTGAGTTTGACACCCCTGGTCTAGTGGTTAAGGCACTAGGCTAGGAGACAGTGAGTTCTAGTCCTGCCTTAGCCATGAAATCCCACTTGGGTGACTTTAGGCTCTCTCTCTCTTAGCCCAACTTATCTCACAGGGTTGTTGTGGGGAAACCAGGAGGAGGAAGGACTATGAGGTATGTTAATTGCCTTGAAAATAATGAAGGCAGGGTTAAAAAAAAATCTAAAAAAAAAAATTGGAGTGCCAACATAACCAGCTTTCTGGGAAATCACAAATAAGAACAGATAGAAACCCAGGGCCGGAAGAGAACGTTTAGGCCAGCGTTGAATAAGCTACGTTCCTGGTGCTTCAAATGAGGAAACCATACTGAGCTCTCACAGTGGAAAAAGGGGACAAAAGAGGAAACACTGTAAAAGCACGTAGCCTATTGAAAGTTTTACACAGTTGTTGCATATATTTTCTATGGTTGATTCCCAAAAGAAAATAGGAAATAAAGAAAAAAATTGCATTTTACAGTCTTCAAGGGTAGTTGTGGCACGAACTACTGTTGAATGGAAATAAAGAGAATCCTATTGTGTCTGACATGCAAACAAATATAGGTTTTGCAGTTTAGTGACTTATTTATTTATTTATTTTTATTTTTATTAAAATTTATATGCCGCCCTTCTCCCGAAGGACTCAGGACGGCTCACAAGTATAAAATGACTGTTGCAATATTTTCAGGATCAGACTCAATAAGATTAGCAAGAGTTAAAGATTTAACTATATATTCTTTTATTCACAATAGGCATTCTATATTCACTGAATATTCACAGATAGAAGCAAGGGAAAGGGTGTAGGTAGCTCCTTATATATACAATGGGTGGAGCTATATGTGGGAGTGGTGAATTATGAATACATTAAGAAGTGAAGAATAAGTTAACCCCTGATACCCTGTTTGTACACTATTTACACATTAGAGAATAAGGCATTTACATCTGACAATGACAATAAAAACAATATCACAAAATAGCATTAAAAGTCCAATTTAAAATCCCACAGTTAACTAAAAAACCCAACCAGATCAGGTGATTTGAGTAAAAAGACTTAAGACTTAATAGGCATGAAGAACTAAACCCAGGTAAAGTTTAGGTTAAGGTTGTACAGCTTGGTGGTGTGCATACAGATAGTCCTTGACTTACAACCATAACGGATCCTGCCCTTGTAAGTCGTGATGGTCGTAAAAGAAGGTCATCACACAGCTGATCCAATTTTATGACCTTTTTTGCAGTGGTTGTTAAGTGAATCACCATGGTTGTTAAATGAATTCATGATCGTTAAGCAAAGCCATTGTTTGCTATACGGAGAACTGGTTTCCAGGAAAAGCATAAATCACAGTGATATGATTTACATGCAAATGGCTGTAAATGTGGACCAGTTGCTGAGCAGCCAAAATGTGGTTATGTGACTGTGGGGGGCAACCATTGGAACTTCAGAAATGGGTAGTAAAGTACCTTTTGTGGGGTCTGTTGTAACCAGTCATAAGTCCAAAACTCCCTGTCATTA